GCGCCGAGCTCCGGCGGGCACGCGATCAGGGGGCGTCCGCGGGGCCAGGGGTCCTTACCAAAGGTTCTGCCCGTCCTCGTCGTCGCCTGCTGCGGCGCCGCCGTTGCCCGACGTTAGCTCGTTGGCCAGGGGGCCGCCCGTGTAAGTCGAGGCTAATCCCGGCGTTGAGGAACCGAAGGAGCCGACTCGCCCCACAGCCGCCATCTTGGTCGGGAATCACACCGCTGCCGGCAAAGCTGAATGAGCGAGGCGGTGGCAGCGGCGGCGGGAACCCGGATATGGAGCGTTCGGCGCACGGGAGCGGGGCGGGGCCTGCGGGGGTGGGGATGGGACTGAGGGAGCGAGCGAGGGCGGACTGCGCGTGCGCTGCAGGTTGGCGGGTGCGGCGGAGATGCGCGTGCGCAGATGGCCGGGCAGGCCGCCATGTTGCAGCCTGAACTATCCAGAGCTTAGCGGGTTGAAGCGCCGCCCGCAGCTCTGGGCTGCAGCTGGGCGTGTCGGGGTGTGTCAGGTGAACAGTGCTGCCTCCCACTTTTCAGTCGCGTCCACAAACCCCGCAGTGGGTGTGGAGTTCCTGCACTGTCATTGCTGTCCCGCCCACCATCCAGGCTGAGCGCTGGTCCCTCTCTTACACCGACGCTTCTCCGGCGCCTCCAGGAAGGAAATGGGCCGCCCCGCTGCCAGAGAGGCTTTTATGCAGCCCGGGCTGGAGTGTTACTCTGGCCCCAGATTTCTGGGCTTCTGTTCATTCTCAAGTGGCGACTTGTTCCTCAGATCTTGGCCCCACCTCAGAAGCAGGTTCCCCCAGCCCCTGAGCAGCTGCGTGACGAGAAGAGCGTTGACGGCGCTTGCTTTAATGTTTTGTTTGAGATACTCTGCGTGAGACTTGAAAAGACCCACTAGGTGAGTCATCTATCCATCCAGTCAGCAGACGTTTATTCAGCACGCACTGTGGCAGGCACAGTTGGCACTGGGAATACACAGATGGAAAAGAGAGAACCTGAAACAACTCCCTTTCTGTCAGAACCTTACTGGTTAAACATATTTCAATGTCTGAGCCTCCTATCCAGAAAAAGTTGATGGTTTTAAGGCTCCATCTTAAGTACACCTTGGAAGAGCAGTTGCTTAAAATAGGCTGCCCCTTGGATACTACAGCCCTTATTTAGTATTTGAAAATCACTTGTTAATACATGATCTCATCAATGCTGTTAGACCAGTGAGAAAATCCACAGCTAAAGACTGAATTTTCTATACATTGACGTTGCAGTTAGAAGCCTAGAAGGCTTTGGAGGCTGGCAAATCTGAGTTCAGATCCAGCGCTATTAATTTACTGGTTATGTAAGCTCAGACAAATTCTTTAACCTCTTAAGCCATCTTTTTCCCTCAGAGCACTTTTCCTCAGTTTTGTTTATACACAGTTGTCAGTTCCGTATTTACTTAGTCTGGGAAGTATTCACTTAATAATAGTGTCAGGCTTCTAATGCCCCATGATTTTCAGATGCTCAACTACTCCCTCATACAGCATTCAAAGTTGTATTCCTTATGGTTTTATAATATCCCTGTCCAGCATTGTTCCATTAAGATGACTAACAAGAGAGGTCTACTACGTGCCAGGCACTCCACGTTTTGTGACTTGCAGGCCTCATACTTTACAGGGGATCAGCCAAGTAAAACAGGTCAGAGGTGATAAATTGAGATGTTTTTACTTTCCACTTTGTCTAACAGCTTATGTCAAATTATGTTAGAATAAATGTCCTGGTAACTTAGATCCTGTTACTGTGAATACCTTCTATGGAAGTCTCTACATGACAAAAATAGAAAACCTATGTATTATAAGGAAGTCTATAAAAGGAAAGAATTAAGCAGTCCCTTGGAAATTTTGTTACATAAATGCTATTTACAATTGAGCTATTTCCTATACTATGATTAATTTTCTTACTTGCCCAACTTTTTGTTCCATCTAAAATTAACAACTGCCTTGGCTTTTATTTGCTTAGATTTCTGTGTCCTTATCTCTAATTCAATCTCAACTGGTTATGTAAAACTCCCCATTAGATCTGATAACAATTTCATCTTCTTGAAGACATCTTTAAGAACTTTCTAGTCTGCTCTAATTTGAAGTGGTTGTTCTCTGTACCTAACACACAGCTGTCATGACCTAGAATCTCCTTTTACCATTGTTCTGGAGATGTCCTTTGCCTCATTCCTGTATCTTCTTCTTTCTTCTTATTTTAGTGGAGAACTTCCTCCAATAGTTTGAGAAAAAGTGTATGGATACATTTTTGGAGACCTGTGTGTCCAGTCAAGGCCCAGCCAAGAGGAAAAAAGAAGGCATTCTTATAGGAGTGCTAGATAAATGTTTAATGAAGGAACTGTTTGTAAAGGTGTGAACGATACTAAGAGATGGGGATTAGCAACAGCAGGAAGATCTAGGCCTGAAGGAGAAAGAGGCAGGAGCGTTCCCCAGAATCCAGAGAGAGCTGCAGCTACAGGAGAAGGCGATCCCAGCAAGCTCTGTGACTTGCAGTAAAGGAACCCAGCACTGACCTCTCTTTCTGCCCCGTGGTATCCTATCACTGTTGGCCAAAACCAACCAGAAGGCAGACAGCAAGGGAACCCAAGCGAAGCAATCCGTGCACATTTACCTTCCCGAGCACAAAGAAGGATAGAGAAGGGTGAAGAGTGGACCTGGGAGGCAAACAAGATACCCAGCTCACTTTGTCTGTTTGAAAATGCATGTAGTCTGTACTCAGTGATAGTTTGGCTGGGTGTACAATTCTTAGGTTGCAAATTATCTTCCCTCAGGTTTAAAAACCTTGACCCTTTGTCTGCTTGATTTTAGTGTTATCATTGAGAAATTTGAAGCCATTCCGATTCCTAATCCTTTGTTATGTGTTCTTTTTTTTCCCCCTACTTGGAGGCCTTTAGAACTTCCACAGATTTCCAGTAGCACATATACCCTCTTCCAATATCTACACTGTCATACTAATTTTCCTGTTATTATCATAGCAGAATAATCTATACTCTTAGACTAAAGCAGTCTCTCCACATACACTACATTCCATCTCCTTTCTCAACTCAAGGACATCGCTGCCACAATTCTACCCCCTTTTTTCTCTATGTAATCATTTATTGATCTCCACTGGATCATTTCCTCATTCCTGCTCCTTCACCAGCTACTACTACATTTCTTTCCTCTCTCTTTTTAAAAAAAAAATTTGTATTTCTTTTTAAAAATTTTTTGGGGGGAGCTAATCAGGTTTGTTTGTTTCTTTCTTTTAATGGCAGTACTGACGACTGAACCCAGGACCTCGTGTGTGCTAGGCACTCGCTATACCCCTGAGCTATACCCTCCCGCTCCTTTCCTCTCTTTAATGGCAAAACTCTTTAAAATAGTTGTCTTTACTGTCTTCAATTCCCCTTCCCCCTCCAAACCCACTTCAATCAGACTTTTACCCCGTGGCTCCACAAGAAACTGCTCTTATCCATGTTGGTAGTTATCTCCTTGCTGTTAAATCCAATGGTAAATTCTCCTTCCTTGTTTTTCTTAACCTTTGAGCAGCACATGGTACAGTTGGTCACTCCTTCTGGATATTCTTATTTACATGGTTTCCTGGTCACCATGTTCTCTTGGGTTCTTTCTCTGCCTCACTTGCCACTCCTTTTCAGTCTCCTCCACCATTTCCTCATTTTCCTGACCACTTAATGTTAGAGGACTCCAGGGCTCAGTCTCTGTTCCTGTTCTTTGACTATACTCACTCCCTTGGTGATCTCATCCAGTCTCATTACTTTCAATTCCATGTGTATGATTAAAACTCCCAGATTTCTCTCTCCAGCCAGAGCTCCATATGGAACTCCATATTAATACATCCAGCTGCTTATTTTGCATCTCCACTTGGATGTCTAATAGCATATCTAGAACTCAGCATACCCCAGACTGAGCTTCTGATCTCTACCCCAAAATGCTTCTCCACCCATGGCCTTCCCCACTAGGTAGCAGCTCCTTGTTGCCCAAGTGATTCTTGACTTCTCCATTCCTCTCACACCCCACTTTGCATCCGTGAGGAATCCTGGCATCTCTACCTTCAAAATATGCGCATGACCCAACTTCATATCACTCACCAACTGTTACCACCTTGGTCTGAGCTGTCATCTCTTTCCTGAACCACTGTGAAAGTCTCTTCATCATGGCAGCTAGAGGGATCCTTTAAAAAATAAGCCAGATCATGTCACTCCTCTATTCAAAACCCTACAGTGGCTCCTCATTTCAATCAGAGTAAACACCAAAGTCCTTACAATGACCCACAAGGCCGTACAGAATCTGGCCCCCCATTGCCTCTCTGGACTTTTCTGTTCTACTCTGTCCCTCCATTTCTCCCATCCAGCCACATTGGCCCCACCACTGTTACTAAAACGTATTGTGTACCCCTTTGCTTTAGCTGTTCCCTCTGCCTTGAAGGAGGTAAGGAGCTATCCAAACCAAAATCTTTCCCCAGATAGCCACTCCCTCTCCTCCCCCAATGTCTTTGCTCACTTCTCAGCCTCTCAATAAGGTGCACCCTGACCACCCCATGTGATGCTGCAACTTCAGTCTTCACCCCTGGAATTCCAGGTTCTTCTTACCTTACTTGCCATTATTTTCCATAACACTACCTTCTAACATAGTATAAAACATACTTATTATTATCTCCTAACATAGTACAGTCATCTCTTGGTATCTGTGGGGGATTCGTTCCAGGACCTGTCCACAGATGCCAAAATCCATGGATGTTCAAGTCCCTTAAATAAAATGGCGCTGTTTTTGCACTTAACCTACCTTATACTTTAAATCATTTCTAGATTTCTTATAATACATAGTATAATGTAAATGATATGTAAATAGTTGTAAATACTATGTAAATAGTTGTAACTACAGTGTAAATGATATGTAAATAGCTGCCTGTGCATGGCAAATTGAAGTTTTGCCTTTTAGAACTTTCTGGAACATTTTTCCCAAATATTTTTAACCTGAGGTTTGTTGAATCTGCAAATGTGGAACCCACAGATATGGAGGGCTGACTGTGTAGAATTTACTTATTTGAATTTAAAATAAAATAAAATAAAATTGTAAAAAAAAGAACTTAAGCTCTGTGAGGGCTTCACTCATGTATCCCAAGTACTTTGTACCTAGGACATAGCAGACATTCAGTGAAGATTTGTTGATGGTATGAATAAATGAACAGAGTTACACCTTGTCACCAGGTTTCTACAATTTAAGGATGATGATGAGGATGGTGGTGTATGTGTGTCTTAAGAGGTGAAGGGGTTACAAAAATTTTTTCACTCCAACACCTGAAAGCAGGGGCTCTCTTGTACGATATTTTAAACTCTTCCTGATATAAATCCTTCTGAAATGTATTACACATTCTCTTGCTACTTTACCAGGTTGTCTGAATGCTGATTTACCTCTCCTTGGAGGCTCTGGGCCTCCTTAGGGGCCCTGCGGTTACACGGGGAAGTCTCAGATCTTGCTGGGATACCCCGGGGTGTTCCCCCAGATGTCCTTTTTAGTTAAGTTTCTGATGCAGCTGAGCCTGGGGGCCTGGAAGTGGGAACTGGAACTCTAGTTGGTGAGTAGGAGAGAAGGTAGGTCTGTAATTAGAGGCACTGGTGACTGAAAAGTGAATTAAATACCCTCTCTCCTGCTTCTGTCTCCCTTCCACTTTAGCCCAGGGAGCTGTGTCTTTTCTCTCCCTCTGGACCATCAGCCCTGCTTACTCATCAGCTTCCTGAAGGCTTTTGTTAAGTACTTCTCCACCTCAAGAAGAGCAATCATTTGACAGACACAAGAGCTCCGCAGAAAACTAGTTTGGGAGAGGAACCTTCCGTAGGGCTGAGGTGGGGGAGACAGGCCACTTCCTCTT